TCCTATTGTATATATGAAGTCTCTGACTAACTCCTGTAGTACACCTGTAGTCTCTGACCATCTCCTATAGCACACATGAAGTCTCTGACCAACTCCTGTAACTTCTCTGTAGCCTCTGGCCATCTTCTGTAGTATACCATAGCTCACAACTGTCCCTCATTTGAGACTAAATCCCTCTGCCCCTTAATGTAGCCTCAGCTGTCCCTCTTTTTGGTCTGATGTGTGCATCTCTATACAAATTTTACTACTTTACTATCAAAATTGCTTTGTTGCACTTAGCTTTTTATCTAACTTTTACATTACTGCATTTGTCATTTCTTGGAAAGGAAAAACAGAGGTAAAAAAAGCACTTGTGTGGTTTAGGCAATAATTTTCTACATGTTAGATTTTCATGGTCCATGTAACCAGGGCTGGGGTAGGGAAGTGTCCTTTGCCTACAGTGGATATAAAAAGTCTACACACCCCTGTTAAAATGTCAGTTTTCGGTGATGTAAAAAAAAATTAGACAAAGATAAATCATGTCAGAACTTTTTCCACCTTTAGGCTAGGTTCACACCTATGCAGGTTGCGTTTGACTGCTTCTGCATTGCGTTTTGTATTTTTGCACCTGCGTTTTTGCTCTGTTTTGCGGTTTTTTTTTTTTTTTTCTTGTTACTGATTTAAAATGCAAAACACATCAAAAACGCAGCAAAAACACATTACATGCCTACATGTACTACAAGTCTATAGAACAAAAAATGCAACTTTTTGCGTTCAAAAAAAATCTCTGACCCTTTCCAAAAAAAAACGCACCGGGTGAAAACACGCAGATGTGAACATGTGCCATAGGAAATCATGTTAAGTGGACTGTACTGTGTTTTTGCAAAACTCAAAATGCTGCGGAAAATGCTTATGTGTGAACCTAGGGTTAATGTGACCTATAAACTGTACAACTCACTTGAACAACAAACTGTAATCTTTTAGGTGGAGAGAAGTAAAAATAAAAAACTAAAATATTATGGTTGCATAAGTGTGCACACCCTTAAATGAATACTTTGTTGAAGCACCTTTTGATGTCATTCCAGCACTCAGTCTTTTTGGGGATGAGTCTACCAGCATGGCACATCTTGACTTAGTAATATTTGCCCACTCTTCCTTGAATAACACTCCAAATCTGTCAGATTGCGAGGACATCATCTATGCACAGCCCTCTTCAGATCACCCCACAGATTTTCAATCGGATTCAGGTCTGGGCTCTGGCTGGGCCATTCCAAAACTTCAATCTCCTTCTGGTGAAGCCATTCCTTTGTTGATTTGGATGTATGCTTTGGGTCGTTGTCATGCTGAAAGATGAAGTTCCTCTTCATGTTCAGCTTTCTAGCAGAAGCCTGAAGGTGTTATGCCAATATTGACTGGTATTTGGAACTGTTCATAATTCCCTCTACCTTGACTAAGGCCCCAGTTCCAGCTGAAGAAAAACAGCCTCAAAGCATGATGCTACCACCACCATGCTTCACTGTGGGTATGGTGTTGTTTTGGTCATCTGCAGTTTTGTTTTTGCACCAAACATATCTTTTGGAATTATGGCCAAAAAATGCAACCTTGGTTTCATCAGACCATAACACATTTTCCCACATGCTTTTGGGAGACTTCAGATGTGTTTTCGCAAAATGTAGCCGAGCTTGGATGTTTTTCTTCCTAAGAAAAAGCTTCCGTCTTGCCACTCCACTCCATAGCCCAGACATATAAAAAATACAGGAGATTGTTGTCACATGTACTACACAGCCAGTACTTGCCAGATATTCCTGCAGCTCCTATAATGTTGCTGTAGGCCTCTTGGCAGCCTCCCAGACCAGTTTTCTTCTCGTCTTTTCAAAATTTTGGCTGGATGTCCAGTTCTTGGTAATGTCACTCTTGCACCATATTTTCTCCACTTGAGGATGACTGTCTTCACTGTGTTCCATGGTATATCTAATGCCTTGGAAGTTCTTTTGTACCCTTCTCCTGACTGATGCCTTTTAACAATCACTCTGATGCTTTGGAAGCTCTCTGCGGACCATAACTTTTGCTGTAGGATGCAACTAAGAAAATGTCAGGAAAGACCTGCTAGAACAGCTGAAGTTTATTTGGGGTTAATCAGAGGCACTTTAAATGATGGCAGGTGTGTACTGACTCCTAATTTTGAATGTGATTGCTTAAATCTGAACATAGCAACATCCCCAGTTAAAGGAGGGTGTGCACACTCATGTAACAACATTATTTTAGTTTTTCATGTTTACTCCCCCCCCCCACTAAAAGATTTAATTTTGTTTTCCAATTGAGTTGTACAGTTTATAGGTGACATTAAAGGTGGAAAAAGGTCTGAAACGATTTATCTTTGTCTCATTTTTTTACATCACAGAAATCTGACTTTTTAACAGGGGTGTGTAGACTTTTTATTTCCACTGTATACAGTGTGCTAAAATGTGTCCCTCTTTATCATTTCAGAAAGTTGGGAGGTATGAACATACTTCTAGTCTCTGACCATCTCCTGTAGCATACATTTAGTTTTGGCCATCTCCTGTAGCATACCTGAAGTCTCCAACCGTCTCATGTAGCATACAAGTAGTCTATGGCTATCTCATCTAGCATACAAGTAGTCTCTGACCATCTCCTGTGGCATACAAGTAGTCTCCATCTCCTGTAGTATACAAGTAGTCTCCATCTCCTGTAGCATACAAGTAGTCTCTGACCATCTCCTGTAGCATACAAGCAGTCTCCATCTCCTGTAGCATACAAGTAGTCTCCATCTCCTGCAGCATACAAGCAGTCTCCATCTCCTGTAGCATACAAGTAGCCATCTCCATTTTGAACCTCTGACAGCTTCCTGTAGAATTACATTCACTGAAAATTATGAGCAGCTTTTTGCTTATGCAAGGATTGTACATGAAGCCCCTTACATCAGGTAGCTTAACCACCATTTCTATAGACTAAAAGCTCAAGGGCAGGGATGAATCTCAATGGTCTATCATCTGTGGAACTTATTTGATTTGAGCTGATACAATTGTTTGTGCTACATTTTGTGAATTAATAAGTTATTCAAAATTGAATAATTGCAATGGGAAGATGGTTAAATTAAATAGTACAATTGGTATCTGTAGAAAATATTTTGAACCTCACTGATTTTATCCTAACGTATGCCATTGGTGAAATCCATCTATAGTGCGGTGGTGGACTCTTCTGACTCCCTAATTTCCATTGCTCCATGGACTGTGTGGCCTCTTCCCATCTACCAGCAGCATTGCACTGCCGATTAAAGGGCAGGTTAAACATTCCGAGACAGATGAAAACTGCTCTAATAGTGGATTTTTAATTGGACCTCTGCTTATTGATACATCAGGGTCTTTCAGGAGCCAAGTAAGACATATTTATACAGTATCAACAGCACTCTGACTGCCTCTGGGATGCCCCAATTTGAGCATTGGAGAAAATATCTTACTACCTGTAGCCACTATATTGCCAATTTGTAAACAATAGGTTTATAGACTGGAATCTGGGAACCATGGTTCTGGATTATCTCTATAGTGTTGGATATAACGAAAATGTCCCATTCCCAGTACAATAAAGCATTGTGATACCTTCATAATCTGCTCCTTCATCTATTCTAAGGCACTCCTTTGTTCTTCAAAGTATGCAGCCTGAGCGCTGTTACTGATGTTTTGTCAAAAGTCAACAACTCCATCTGTAGCCATTCTGCCTGGTGCTGACATATGGAGAGAGCAATGACACATGATCATCACTGGAATGGTACAGGCTTCGTTGATGAATGAGATATACTCCTTTATGTGTGTGAGGTTCATCAAGGTGACACCCAATAGGAGAATAACTCCATTTTAGGGAATAGACGGGAGCAAAGTTTTTCTCCACTAGCTTTTCGGTAAACATTTCCAAAGCAAAGGGTTTTTTTACGTAGTTTCAGTTTAAACAGTAGATACCATTTTATTTATTTTATTTATTTATTTCAGGTACTTATATAGCGCTGCCAATTTACGCAGCGCTTTACATATATATTGTACATTCCCATCAGTCCCTAACCCTCAAGGGGCGCACAATCTAAGGTCCCTGACTTACATTCATACATACACATACATACTAGGGACAATTTAGACAGGAGCCAATTAACCTAGCAGCATGTCCTTGGAGTGTGGGAGGAAACCGGAGCACCCAGAGGAAACCCACGCAGGCACAGGGAGAACATGCAAACTCCAGGCAGGAGGTGCCGTGGCTGGGATTCAAACCAACGACCCAAGTACTGCAAGGCAAAAAGTTCAAACTAAACTAAGAAAATATGTCTGGATGTTGGGAATGTGTCCTAATAATGTTTCCCAGGGACAATTCATTTTGAAATGTGGGGCATTCAATGTGCTTTTTTTTTACTTCTTTGTAGAGTGGGAGGTGGTGTAATGTGTAATTTATTTACTCGGTTAATAGTTTGTTTTTAACCTATTATATAAATATGTTTTTATATGACTATGTATAGTGTATTCATTGCATTTGATGTGAATTTGTATGAGCTGAATCAGTTGTGTAGTTAGTAATTGTGGGGCCTCAGTTTGGTGTAAAATAATTAATTACTGCACATAAATATTTGTAATTTACATATTTAATAAATAAATTTATGTTTTGACTGTGTCAAAAATGGTCTTGCATATACTCATATTTTTAACAGAACTACCAGTTTAAGCAGCTGTTTTTACTAATTTTTGGTTGTAATTATTTGTATGATTTGATGGTCCTTTTTTGTGAAAAAAAAATATATAGTAAATAAAAAAACTAATATAGTATATATAATTGCTACACAACCTATAATGCCACAATGTCACGATTTCTGCCAGGGTATGCAAACTTTTGAGCACAACTGTAACTATGTTACATAAAAAGATATTACAGTGTTACTAAACCCCAGACACTGCATTCACTATACCTGGTCTCCCACAGTACACAGAACATGGAAGTGCAATTATTTTAGTAAATATAAACTGCTAAATACCTTTTCTTATCAGCAATTAGAGCAGTCTTGTGACTTCTATCAGTGTTCAGCAAAACACTGGTTAAAGCTTGTAGCAAGAGTTTTCTTTCTGTTCTAGGAGGATACAGGACCCCTGACCTCTGTCAGGACAGTGCTGATTGGCCCTGTGCTGATCACATGCACTCTCTAGCAATGCACACTAAAAAACCTCTCTAGCAATACACACTAAACTAAGCATGTGCAGAAGGGCTATGGGTTCAGTCTGTCTTATCAGCGTGGATATTTGAACAAGAGGAGGGGCAGAGAAGAAAGGATAAAACGGCCTTTTTACACAATACAGAGGATTAAACCCTTAGGTTCCACAGTGAGTATAACAAGCATGCTTTACTGCATATACAGACTGATTTTACTGTTGTGGGTTTAGTAACACTTTAATGTTATTAAAATGGACGTTTCCTTTTTACAGCTGCTACAAATTTCTGTAAAATTCAATGCAATATGGCAATTTGGAGGCTTTATGTACACAGTTGGTATACAGAACTTTCCCAGAAATGTAATTTCCTGCTTGTGTGATTGGCTCTCTGATTTTCCAAGAAGTCTACGCTAAGATACAAGTAAAATTGTAGGCATCCTCTGCAAATATATTTTTTTGTGAGATACTCCCTAAAGCAAGGGTCTCCAAACTTTTCAAACAAAGGGCTAATTTACTGTCCTTCAAACTTTAGGAGGGCAGGATTGTGACCAGTGGGGGTAGACAATGTCCCAGGCCCAGCATCAGTGAAAATAAACATGGGATACTATTCCTCCCATTAATACCATTAATACCCATCATTGGTATTAATGGGAGGAATAATGCCCCATCATTGGTATCAGTGTAACAAATAGTGCTTCTTTGTTGGTATCAGTGGAAGGAATAGTTCCCCATATTATTGGGAGGAATAGTGCCCTAAGGGCCGGAAAAAGGCTAGCAAAGGACCACATCCGGCCCTTGGGCCGCAGTTTGGAGACGTATGCAAAGAAACAAGCAGAGGGCACACGGGCCTAGTGCATTACCTTCTAAAAATGAGATTTATTGAATAAAAAGTAGTATACTCACAAAAGAATAAAATCAAATCCACATCACAAAAAAGACAGCATGGCCCTATCTCCCTATATGGTGGCTGTTGGGGGACTGTAGGCCTTAAAATGGCTGACATGTTTCAAGGCAGAACCTCTTCCTCCTTGGCTCTAAGGAAGAGGTTCTGCCTCAAACGCGTAGGCCCTTTACAGAATAATCTAGAGTGGGCGACTGGGGACAAAGAGAAGGCAAATGTGTTAAATATCTTCTTCAGCTCTGTGTATACAAAGGAGCATGGGGGAGCTCTTGTCCATAATGGGCATGGTATTGACACAACTCCAGATGATCCACATTGGCTCACAATTGACACGATCCAAAAATATTTAGAAAGTATAAAGGTGAATAAAGCACCTGGACCGGAGGGCATACACCCACGGGTCCTTAAAGAATTGAGCTCTGTCATTTGAAAGCCATTGTTTCTAATTTTTAGGGACTCTTTAATGACTGGCATAGTACCCCTGGATTGGCGTAAGGCCACTGTGGTGCCAATATTTAAAAATGGGTCAAAATCTTTACCATGTAATTATAGACCAGTTAGTTTAATTTCTATAGTTGGGAAGATACTGGAGAGTATAATAAAAGACCACATAGATGAGTTCTTGCTGGAAAAAAATATTTTAAGCCACAGACAGCATGGATTCATGAAAGACAGAAGTTGTCAAACAAATCTGATTTCTTTTTATGAGGAGGTGAGCAAAACCTTGGACAGAGGGGTGGCGGTGGACGTGGTATACTTGGACAGAAGGGTGGTGGTGGACGTGTATACTTGGACAGAGGGGTGGCGGTGGACGTGGTATACTTGGACAGAGGGGTGGCGGTGGACGTGGTATACTTGGATTTTTCAAAAGCGTTTGACACAGTTCCCCACACACGGCTAATGTGTAAGGTAAAGTCTACAGGCTTGGAAAAATCCATATGTAAATGGATAGAAAACTGGCTAAAAGATCGTATTCAGAGAGTAGTGGTTAATGATTCATACTCTGAATGGTCTAGGGTCATCAGTGGTGTACCCCAAGGTTCAGTGTTGGGACCCTTACTTTTTAATATATTTATAAACAATATAGGGTCTGGGATTAAGGGCTCGTTCACACTAGGCTGTTTTGCCAACGCTTGCCAAACGCCCCTATAGCTTTTGGCAAGCGTTGGTCCGGCGTTTGCGGAGCGTTATTAACGCTCGGCAAACGCTCCGCAAACGCCGCATGCGCGGTTTAGCGGCGGTTGCTAGGCGTTTGCCGAGCGTTAATAACGCCCCACAAACGCCTATACTGCAGTTTGAGTGGTGTTACCGGCCCGGGCGTTTGCGGAGCGGCACCATAGACGAGAATAGGAGGCTTCAAAGCCTCCTGACTCGTCCAGAGGCGTCCGTTTTGCCGCGACGCAACGCGACGCGATGCAAACGCTCCCGTTAGAACAGCACCATGTGCTGTAATGTGCAGAATTGGCAGAGGCGTTTGGGAAGCGGTAAAAACGCTTCCCAAACGCCTCTCTGCCGCCTGCACACAAGGCTAGTGTGAACGTAGCCTAAGAATCCCATTTCAGTCTTTGCAGATGACACCAAGCTGTGCAGTGGAATAACGTCCTTACAGGATGTCTTCAATTTAAAAGCCGACCTCAATGCACTGTGTAATTGGGCAACTATGTGGCAAATGAGGTTTAATGGTGATAAATGTAAGGTTATGCACTTGGGGGCTAAGAATATGCATGCATCATACATACTAGGGGGGGTACAACTGGGGGAATCAATGGTGGAGAAGGATCTGGGAGTTCTGGTAGATCACAAGCTTAATAATGCATGCAATGCCAAGCTGTGGTTTCTAAAGCGAGCAAAATCCTCTCTTGTATTAAAAGATGTATAGACTCCAGAGAGAGAGATATCATATTACCCCGGTACAAATCATTAGTAAGACCTCATCTGGGATATGCAGCTCAGTTTTGGGCACCAATTCACAAAAAGAATATTGGGGAACTGGAGAAAGTACAGAGAAGGGCAACCAAACTGATAAGAGGCATGGAGGAGCTCAGCTATGAGGAAAGATTAGAGGAACTGAATTTATTCTCTCTTGTGAAGAGGAGATTAAGGGGGGATATGATCAACATGTATAAATACATCAGTGGTTCATATAGTGAACTCGGTGTAGAGCTATTCACCCTGAGGTCATCACAGAGGACAAGGGGGCACTCTTTACGTCTGGAGGAAAAGAGATTGAATCGTCAAACATGGAAAGGTTTCTTCACAGTGCGAGCTGTGAAAATGTGGATAACTGGATACTAACATTTATAGGTAAACTTGATCCAGGGAATATTCGATTGCCTCTTGGGGGATCATGAAGGAATTTTTTTCCCAGCAGAAGCAATTGGATCATGCTTTGCTGGGTTTTTTTTTTGCCTTCCTCTGGATCAACGGTGGGTATAGGATTATAACTTTTTTTTTTCTTTTCTATGGTTGAACTGGATGGACTTTTGTATGTATATATATATATATATATATATATACATACATGCATACATACAAAACATACATACACACTGCATGTTGAAATGTGTTTTTTATATATTACAGAATATATGAAAAAATATTTTTAAAAATGCGTTTTCAAATATACTGTATGTCTTTAAAAATACATTTAATCTACATTTTTTTGAATGAATATAGAAATATATGTTAAAATTACTTTTTTATATGTTAAAAAAAATCTGAAGAATATATTTAATAAATATATATTTTTAAAAATATTTTTCATATATTTTGTAATATAAAAAAATCACATTTCAGCATGTGTGTATATATGTATGTATGTACGTATATAGAAATATATTTTGAAATATATTGAATATGGCCAAAATTGTACCATTTCAAATATATGTCAATATATTTGGGAAGAATATTTTTAAGATATATTTAAAATATATTTTTCTTCCATGTGGGAGCTGTTCCTTCCCTCCATCTTATTTCCCTGGTTCCAGCAGCTCAACTGTGGGCACCCGACTGTGACAGCTTGCGGATTTACAGCTGGATGCCCACTGCGCATGTGCGCAGCACACTGCTCATTAGGAATGGTTTCACATGCACGCTGCTCGTTGGGAATGGTGCCACACTGCAAAAATGGTTCAGATGTTTTGAGGAACACAAAAATTTTGAGTTGTGGACCTGGCCTCTAAATTCTCCAGATCTAGTCCAGCGGTGCCAGATACCACAGCATATCTTCAGAAGTCTATTGGCATCCATGCCTTTATGGGTCAGAGCCGTATTGATAGCAAAAGGAGGATCTACTCAATATTAGGTGAGTGGTGAAAAGGTTATGGCTGATTGGTGTATTATCTAACTTTTCTCCTCAACAGGTGTTTTTTTAATAAATTTTTACCATAACATAAAAAACACAACAAACTTTTTAGATTACTTTAATGTAATTGCGCAGAAGGATTGGGAGCAGAAGTGGTTGGTAACATAAAAGGCGGCCACAGGATAGGAGTGATCACTGACAGCCAAGAGATAAAGATAAGCTGCCGGGAGAAAACCACAAAATATCACGTAACTCCTGATGTTTCTGGGAGACTTGACAGGTCTGTAGCAGATGTCTGAATAAGTGGATGTCTTATTTATTTATTATTTATTACAGGTACTTCTATAGCGCTGTTAATTTACACAGCACTTTACATGTATATGCACTCACCAGCCACTTTATTCAGCTGTTCAATTGCTTGGTAACACAGATTACTAGGCAACTTGCTGACGTTCAAACTGAGCATCAGAATGGGGAAGAAAGGGGATTTAAGTGACTTTGAACGCTGCATGGTTGTTGGTGCCAGACAGGCTTGTCTAAATATTTAAAAAAAGGTTGATCTACTGAGATTTCTCACACAACCATCACTAGGGTTTACAGAGAATGGTCCGAAAAAGAGAAAATATCCAGTGAGCGGCAATTGTGTGGACAAAAATGCCTTGTTGATGTCAGAGGTCAGAGGAGAATTGGCAGACTGGTTTGAGATAATAGAAAGGCATGCTATCATGTCATTTATGGACCAAAATCTCTGAGGAATGTTTCCAAAACCTTGTTGAATCTATGACACA